TGGGTCGTGTCTCATATTATTTGTTATATTTTTATTATTCATTATTTTCACTTGACTTGCATAAATAATTTTGTTCGAAGAACATTTATATGCAGTTGTACTTCGCAGCACTTCACTTGCAATTTCAATTTCTAGTTTAATAATTATTATATTACTGTTGCTGTCGTGAATACTAAATTTTGACAGCTTTACTATCACTATACACTATTTGTATATTGATTGACTACCATTACCAGACATATAGACAGGTAGGTAAAGGAAAGACTTTTCGAATAATACTGTGCCCTGTTTAGTGAAATTATTTTTTTAGAAGCCGTCGGAGGGAGGGAAGAATTATTTAGCAAAATTATTTTGCCAAAAGCAAAGTGAAGGACAAAATGAAAATAAAATTTTCATTGATATGAATTGAAACAAGTGTTGTAATGAGATTGATAAATGCTTTAAATTTATCTAATTTGTGAATATTTCCGGGGAGTGAAAGCCATAATAAAAATATGTAACACTTTTATGTTTTTCTAAAATTTCTATTTTTCGTCGGGGAGGGTGCGTTAACTATTCGAAATCGCTATTTAAACAAGGTACAGTATAACATATCTTGCCTAAAAGTCTGTGATCCTAGGACCTACTGACTCTAGGCCTACTATTAGACCCTCTATGCAAACGACCTCGTTTGTACTCATAGTAGGCCCTACTACAGTGTTTTCTAGGCCTATTGGTAGCAGTGGGTATTAGAGTTGTATGATCAGCGGTGACTATGTTAGCCTACTAAGTGTTGTTCCCAATACTGTAATCAAACACGTATAAAAATCAGGCTTACTCGGCGTGTTGTATGTGCATGGATTGTTTTGTTGGCGTGTATCGCAGTCGCATTGCTCTGAAGACTGTCAAACAAAAGTGCGATTATGTAATCTTATCATTAGCCAATCAGAGCGCTTTATATGTCTCCCTCATGCTTGGCTCTTCACGAAAAAGGGCAACAATCTTAGGCTGGGGCCAGGGGGGCGCCTAGGGCCCCGGCGGGGTCCAGGCACATTTCAGGAATATGAGTTTGTATTGAGTCGATTTTGAATATCTAGCATGGTAGTTTTCAGTAACAAATAATCTTTTAAAAAAAATAGGTGTCTTTTAAAAGAAATTTTAATATACAGGGTACCTGCAATATGCAACTATAAAATGTGTCATTAAATTAGTAATAATTCATCTTCTCACAGCTGTGGGTTTTAGTGACTCTTCCACGAACATCTCACACATAATCTTTGACAACATGCAAAGGCTCATAATGTACACCATTTCAAAAGAGAAATTTCACTTCTAGAAAACATGATGAAGTTTCTCAGCAAAATCGAGCATAAAAATAACAAAATCAGCAAAAAGGAAAATTAATATCCAAAATCCGTTACAAAAGTCGTCAAACAACAAAATCCGCTACTGTATATTAACATTGAGTACATTACAAGTGTTCTATTTCTCACCAAGTGGATTTATGAATAGCACTCTCCTAGAGTGTTTTTGGTAGGAAAGAAGACTTACACTGTGTGTGTAATTTTTTATTTTCTTTTCTTTTTTTTCTTTTTGCAAAAAAATAGAGAGGACGTACGCCCCTCACGCCCCCACCCTTAAATTCCGCCACTGGAAATAGGCCTAGGCCCTAGGTTTAGGTAGGTTTTCATGTCTATTAGAGACAACAGGATAGACTTTCGTGGAGATCCCTAGGTCCCTGGTTCAATTCCTATCGCTGCCTCTCCTTGTGTTTAAGCTAGAGGGCTGAAATACAAGTTACAATAGCCCACTGCCTTTCGGATGAGACGTTTAAGCCGTTGGTCCCGTGTGCATTATGGCCTATGTGCACGTTAAAGAACGCAGTACACTCTTCGGAAAAGAGTAGGGAATTGTCTCCCGGTGCTGCCCAATCACCACCAGAAGGACACCACTGGAAATAAGTTTTCGTGGGCTATCCTAGGTGTTTACTAAATCCAATCCAATCCATTCCACCTGAATCTAAGTTATCCTTTACTGCTACTAATCAAATTTTAAAAGATGGATGAATTACAAAAACAACATTTATTTTTCGATGGATCATTATACCACAACTGTTTAAGACACGCCCCATGAAAGTAATGACGGCATGCCGTAACTCGAGCTCTCGTCATATTCCGGTGACAAATTGAACACACATCAGCTAAAGAGTTAAGTTCATCTTCAGTTGCATGCCTTAATTTGTTTATCTTCTGCATTGTTACTTTCATTTGCTTTAAACGATCCCAACCTCTCCTGGGTTTCTCCCAAATATTCCGATAGAAACACACCAAACACACCAGCACTAGATAGATTTTATCACGATCAAAGAAGGAAATTAAGTTCCAAATTGCATAGCACCCATGAAATACAGTCACAAGAAACTCAAAGAAATGACCAAACCCTTCGATACAGGAAACAGCCTCGTCAAGAAGATATTCAAAGGGTTCTTCACAGAAATCGTATATCCTGATTACGAAATATATCACCAGGTAACACAAGTTATGAAGCATATTTAATAAACAGTATGCTGCGATAATGAAAACAAAGTCTTCAATAACGCCTTGAGTATAGTAATATGTTATGACGATTGGAGTAATAATTAGAATAATTAGAATAAATACAAGGACAAGAACCCCAAAATGGGCTAATCTCGTATTACTTGTGTGTAATTCTAACAAGTAATGATTTGTCATAACAGAGATATTCCGAATGATGAATGATGCCACTATAAACGGAAAAGCTTTTGAATCTATAAAACCTGAAAAAATGAGCGCTACCCCCTCACACAACACCGAATCACTTTCATTCACATTAAAACGACCATACAGTAGGATATCGAAAAACGAAATACAAGTACAACATAGGCCTATGAAAGTCCATGGGCTCGTACCAAAATAATCTGCATTCTGTACAAAAAAGTACAGACGGTACACCTTCCACTTGTTGTAGTTGTCAAATATAAACTGAGAGACCCACAGAAATATAAACGTTGAAGGTAAATATGACTTCCTGTAAATAATTTTCAGTCGATTTAGATCATATCCACCCATAGCTAAAATAAAATCATGTAATTCAATCAACACGCGCTTTAACTCTGCTAGTTCGTGTCCAGCTATCCATGTAGATCGTAATCTACATGCCGCATAACTCACAATAATACATATGGTTAACCAGATTAACACGTCGTGTGTTTTTACTGCTATTACCGGTTCCAAGTCGAACGTGGGAACAATTACTGTAGGAGTAAATGCTGCAAGTATCCATGAAATGTTAGTACTCAAGTTTCGCTTCTCTATGCTCATCAGGCAAATACAGATCAAAACGAGGACCAATTGTTTCATTAGATAAACAATAATTCTCGGCACATGTGTGGCATGATCTTTATCGATATTCTGCGAATCCGAATATTGTGAATTTGTAATGTAGCCTCTTGACACATACGTAGATTGTACAAGTAAGGTAGAGATTATTAGGTGAATGTAGAAAGACTTCAAGTTGTGTATTCGAAAGGTTATATGTGCAATAGCAGCCAGGTAACCTACAAAAAAAAAAACAATTAAATATTAACATTTCTACGTGTACAGAATCAAAATCAAATATTTAATTTCATTAAAAAAAGGTTTAAATATTGGCTGTTAACAGTCCACTAAAATTTAAAGATTCCTTAATCACTTGTCCTTTGTATTTTTTTATTATTATTTTTAATTATATCCTTTTAGTCATTGGTGGATCTGAGGGGGGGCTGTCTCTTATACACATCTTGTTTTCTATCCGGCAAAAAAAAAAAAAAGATCTAGACCTACCTTTTCAGGACCCGTGAGCTGAATTTTGTTTTGTTACAAGAAAATTAAAAGTAGGAAAAACTCATTTCATGCCATCTAGGAATCAAAATTTTCCAGGGTATGACCCCGACCCCGACCCCTCATTCTTATTGGGGTTTATCGATTCAAGGAAAAAAGACTTCATGCAACTACTCAATTTTTATGTACGTACACACACAAGGCCTATTTACTAAAATAAGAAACCTTGAATTTCGAAGTCATTAAACGACACCTCAGAAATCAGGAAAATTAACTCATTTCCCGCCAATTAGTAATTAACATTTTCCCGGGGAAAGAACCCTGAACCCTCTTTCTCTGTGGGGTTCCCCCCCCCCCCGACCTCTCCAATATGAACCCAGATCCGCCTCTGTTAGTTATGACTAGCGATGACTAGTGAGCCATATTGCCCCTGTTACATGGCCGGCGGAAGCAACTTTTTGGCAAAAAACATATAATGTCTGGAGATTTTTGTATGATCGGAAATGCAAGAAAAGAAGGAGGGAAGAAGCAGGAGAAGGATGGGAAAGAGAATGTTTATCCAGTACCCGACCGAGTTACCTTTTCTCGCAATCACATTGGCGGATCTGGGGGAGGAGGGTTGTGGGTCCTTACCCCTCCCTTGAGCAACAACAAAAAGGGGTAAAAAGAAAAGAATTCTAGATCTACCTTTTCAGGACCCGTGAGCTGATTTTTTTTTATTTTTTTTATTTTGTTACAATTAGAAAACCTTGAATTTTGAAGAACTTAATTACTTTTAAGTTCTTCAAAATTCAAAGTTTTCCCCTCTTGAAAATTATTATAATGAATCAATGAACCCAAAGAAAGGGAGGTTCGAGTTCTTCCCATATGTTGATTTCTAAATCGTGGACAATGAACTTTCCCGACTTCGGAAGTATCTTTAAATGACTTTAATTTAAAAGACACTTCAGATGTCGGGAAAGCTCATTTCCCGCCTTCTAGGAATCAAAATTTTCCTGGGGGAGAACACCCGGACCCCCTTTCTTTTTGGAATTTATCAATTCATGGAAAATTCGTATGCAACTACTCGAATTTTTGTGTATGTATACACACATAAGGCCTATCTACTGTAATAACAATGGAAAAAATTACCTGACCGTTTTCAAGAGGGAAAGCCTTGAATTTTGAAGAACTTAAGTTAAAGTCGCTAAAAGATACTTCAGAAGTCGTGAAAGCTGATTGCCCACCATTCAGAAATCAACATTTTCCCGAGAAGAACTTGAACCTGCCTTTTCTCTTTGGGTTTATTGATTCATTATAATAATTTTTAAGAGGGGAAATCCTTAATTTTGAAGAACTTATAAGTAATTAAGACACCTCAGAAGTCGGAAAAACTCATTTCCCGCCATCTAGGAATCAAATTTTGCCCGCCCCCTCCCCCACTTTGAAAACGTTCCGCCGGCCCTGTGTTATTTACGACTAGCGAGCCATATTCGTGATATAAAAGAAGCTTAATGGCTGTAAACATTTGTTACCGTATAATATGACAGCGAACCTTATGAATAGTAAATTGATGGACCGGATCAGTGGCCCTTCTTAGTACTTACCAACACACTTGAGGTCAAAGTAATTTCTTGAATTGATTTGGTACAACAAGTGAAGTATAAACACACCTGTCAACCGTTTGAGCCAGGACAGGATTTGTTCCATCATTTCCACGAACATTATATAGTTAAATGAAAGATCAGTTTATTGCCACGACTGTCGTTATTGATTTAGTAAGAACCTGTAAAAATATAAACGTAGGTCTAAAGTTTTAAATTCTCTGTTTGGCATTAGTTGATAAGTGAGTTTATAGACAACACCTATAATTACAATGCTTTGTATTATGTATATGACATAATAATAATAATAATTTACATTTATATTGCACATATTGCGCAGTGGCTCTATGTGCTTTACGTCAAATTATAAATAAAATGCGTGACGACAGGGAACAGTTAATTTAACTGTTCCCTGGTGTGATTATAGTACTGTGACAAAAAGTAAAACATTGTTTTGTTTCCATTAATTGTCGGAATTATAGCTCAGCATCCTATAGCAGTGTGCCAATTTAGAAACTCTATAAATAGTTTCAGGAACCGTGTGAAAATCAGCTCTAATTCAATCATTTTAGCCATTAAGTATTGCTCTTTCCAATTCTAAAATGTATCATCAGTGGAACATTGTCGTACATTATGATTTTCTGATCTTGATGTTTTTCTTGATTCAGTCTGTTTTTTTTTTTACTTTTGTCATATATTTATATGTATTTATACTGGTTTAACTGTTTCTTTTGTATGGACATGATACTCTGAAATAAAAGATGAATGAATGAATGAATGTACTTTTTAAATGTGTATGTCTAGTATGTGTTTTATTATGTAAATTACAAAGCAACGGTGTGTAATACGGTAGTTTAGTTATATCAGGGTAATTGGCTCTATAATTCAACAAAATTGTTTTCTTTTAATTAATTGATTACTATTCTTGACTTGATACAATAATACATTTAGCCTATCACATTACATTTGGACATAGTTAAATTGTATTTTTGAAATTTCAAATTACTTTTTTTATATTACAATCATTTTTTTTTTTTGTAATTTGGTTTTATATATATTAACAATTAGAAGTGACAATAATAGTATACAGTAGATAGATTGCGGGGGGGGGGGGTTATTTTATAACAAAATAAAACACACTTTACTGTGAATGCATTTCTTTGTACGTAATAGTATTACTATATCATTATTCCCAAATAAAAGTATACCAGTACTCTTACAAAATTATTTACTTTTATTGATTTTGCTTTTACAATCATATATTGCATATTTCTCTTTTTATTTGTTGAACATTTTTTTGGCATTTGATTTTATTTTTTGATTATGTTATTGGATTAATATAATTTTGCTTTTCAATTCAATTTCTGTTTCTTTTATTAAAAACAGCCTCGCAGCTTTGCTGAATTACATGGTAATTTATATTAAAATTTGTAAAAGAAAAAACATCTAAAAAATACCATCAAACGGTAACAGTAAATATGAAATAGTTATTCTATAGAACATTAAAATTAGAAAATAAAGAAAACTGTACTGATTGAATTAATGTGTTTTTACTGTATAATGACAGTTATCATTATTGTTATTAATTATTAATAGGCCTATTGATATATTCATTTAAAGTTGAAATAAGTAAAGGTGTGGCATTTAGGTTGCTGGTATGTCTACCATTTACCTGATCGTCAATAATAATGAAACTAGAAATAGTAGAATGGTGTATTGCCACTGTTATGACCGTCGTCCTCATTCATACCGCTACAGTGTTCTGTATTATGTATATGATGCGGGGCATAACAATTGCAATACAGCATTCACAAAATCAGTTCTAGAAAATAATATGGAGGCTTTAACGAAAAATAGGGTAGTTTTTTGACTGAAAAAAAACTTGAAGTGATCGAGTGCCGATTTAGACACTGCGAGTCAATTTTTTTTTTATTTTTTACCGGACATACAACATCGCCACCTATCCCGAATTTTGGGGCGCGGCCGCGATTTTTTTTTTCCGTACGAAACATTTGGATGAAACTTCACTCGGGCCATCTCGGATTGACACGAGTGAGTACGATACGAGGAACAAGAGCAGACACTTCGCAATGTCGTGACGCTCGAGTTTTACTATTATTTCTCTTTCTATGTTTACTTCGGTGGGCCTATGAAACAGCGTGACCACTGCTTGGGTATTTACCCAAGATCTTGGGTATTTTGATTTGGTCTTGGGTTCTTGGGTATTCCGTTCAAATCCTTGGGTATTTTATTTTTACTAAGAAAATTAAATATTTTTGTGATAGAGGAAGAATTAAGAAGTAACAAAGTATATTTCAGTCCATTCAAGTAAGCAAAACTCAACGAAGTGCATATAACATTGTTAATTGACTGTTAATTGTATAAACATGGGTTCAGAATTGTTTATTTGTGATTTGTGTTGCCATTGATCTTACCTAATTATGCATTACATAATAAAACTTGATCACTGATCTATTAATAACACTGGCCGACTGAGGGCGTATTTTTCTTTCCGTATTATCACCTCATGAACAATAATTTTAATAATTAACAATAAAAAAATTGGTTTATAAATTGAACTAAAAGGGAAACTATACATGCGAAAAACACGTATTTTTCAAATTTTAATGCATTTTCAGGAAGCTTGGGTAATTTGGACAATTTTTGCTGAATCTTGGGTAATTTCGACCCAGACATTGGGTATATCAAAAATTGTGAGTGGTCACACTGCTGAAATCTCACGGATTTATGGGATGTACGTGTGTAACTAACTGTGACCTTCTTGGATGTTATTAAATGTTAGTATATTGTCTACAACAACAACAGAGTACCTCCTGTTATAAAGTGTAGATAGGTGCAGTAATACCAAAGGCTGGAGAGAAAGAGGATAAACTATAGGCCTAACTACAGGCTGAGGTCTTACCTAGGCCCCTCCTTATATAGGCCTGTGGTCATAGACTGACACCAACAGTCACGCTTCATGGACTGAAATTTTTGGGGGAAAATGGGACAAAATTGAAGCATGAAATGAAAAATAGAGCGCATAAGCGAAATATTATTAAATAAATAATATACGTTTCCGGCGTTATTGAACTTGTCCAAACTATCATTGTAATGTAATTATGTTAAATAATAATAATAATAATAATAATAAT